TTTTTCCTCTCTAAACTTTTGAAAGTCGCCAACGCTTAAAAAACGATAAACTACGCTAAGGTAGTAACCCGCCTTTAAAAAAAAATATTTACTACAACACTTAGGCAGTTCGCGTACGTAGAATCCGTTCTTTTCGACTGGGTTCAAATGACGGATCTGACAACTCAATGTGCATTCGTGGTTAATGTTGGTGCGAATAGCTAAAGCGGCTGATCGCACCGCTGGTGCGAATAGCATCGGCCGGGTTCGCACTTGCTTAATAAGTTGTATATATATACACATGTATGTCATTTCACAAGTTATCACCAGCTCGACTGCTAACTTGGTAGCTTTCCACAACATCATAGATCTTTGCACGACCTACCTTATCATTAATTTAATAATCGAACGTCCTTTGGCCTCTCTTAATTCCAAAAAATTATATATTTAAAAACAAACTACGTATGTTATGTAAATATTGTTTGTATATACATTTCTTGAATTTATTATATGTAAGCTCTAAAAGTTATTTTCCTGTATTATTCGTAAACAACACTATTCTTCGATATGGGGTAGGGTCTTGGACCAAGGCACCCTGGTGCTACAAAAAAAATTTCCCCTTCGTGCGCATGAAGCTTAAAACTCATTCCAATGCTCGGTTGTTTCAAGATCCGTTTTCTTCACTTCAACCACTACCATGGAGGAAAGAGTAGCGATAAAGAACCGACCCTACAATTCTATATATTTTGCATTGTGGTTTGCTACATGGGAATCAGCTTTTGCTTTAGCTACACTTAAGCCACTTATAGATCCCAAGACGAAGTTCAACAACTGGAGACTGCTTCTTTGGTTCGATACATCATACTTCAGAAGCACACTAATGCTTCTTATCAAGACCTGAAAAGCCGCCATTACTGAGCGTTGTGGGAAAAGGAAATATCCAGGAAATCCGGAAATTACTCGCCGGGGAGCAACTTGGACGCAAGAAGCCATTCGAACTGCTTGTTGTCATGAAAAGGCATGGCAAGAAACACAATATATCGGACTCATTGTTACTGGAGTTGCTTCTTCAGCAATGCCACCAAACGACGAATCTATCTTCGCGTCTGTTGAACCGCTTGATTCGAAAGCCGTCAGCGTTGCGTGATCGTATAAGTCACACCCGCTCAGGTAATCGCAGTTTCTTCACCCCCTTCAGACAATGTGCTTGATAATTCTAACTTCCCTGCTGGATGAATATGCAAAATGTGTAGTGAGGTATTGTCTCTACGACGATCACGCAGTACTTTTAAAAGTTACTTTAACAGAAAACGAAGTTCTTCAGCTAAAGCTGCTTTGAATTTTTCCTATCACTGGTGTCATCGTAAATACAATGTTCGGTTCAGGGGAACGAACAGGTAAAAGCATAATCGCGATTTGCGTTTTAACCTCTGAGACATAAAAACAAATAAAATTTGTGCGCCACTGGCTCGTCAGTCCTCTCAGCTGCACATAGTGTATATGATAAATTACTGTCTATCCTTCACTATCAAAGCTTGGTAATCTTAATGAAAGATGTGAAGCATAATGTTATGCATTCATTGAAACAATATGTCCTCCTGTGTCATGCAAACCTAGGAGATTAGACCCGGATAGATTAAAAATAGCAAAAAGCGAAATCCAAAAAGTGATCAACTTAAGTTGCATGCGACCTTCCAGATATAATTACTCCAATCCTCTACATACGGTGTTAAAGAAAGGCACCTGTGGGAGATTTTCTGAAGTAAATGCTCAGATAGTAAGGGATAAGTAACCTTATTCTCTAAATCTGTGAAATTGCATGGCTCAAAAGTATATTTTCTCGCATAAAATTTAGTAGAAACCAATCATCAGATTCCAGGCATCCTTCTGATATTCTCAATATAGCTGTTGCCACTCCTTTCACACTTTTTGAGAGCAAAAGGATGCAGTTTGTGTTGCGCAAAGCGGCCGTAATCTTTCAACGGTTCATTGATGAAATCTGGCAGGAGCATTTCTTTTGTTCCTGATACTATATTAATGTCATCAAAGGACGAAATTGAATATTTGAGACACTTGGAAGCTCTTTTCAAAAGATTAAGTAATTGTGAGTTAGAATTAATGTCTCTAAATGCATCTCTGTTGTAACAGCTTTAGAGTTTCTTAATTTTCATGCATCTGAACAAGGTTTAAAACCTCTATCCCACAGAGTAAAAATCATTCAAAAACTTCTCAAACGAAACACTTTAACGCAGTTAAGAATATTTCTAGTCATTTTTAGCTTTTAGAGATGTTTCATCCCAAGAGCTTCGCATATTTTAGCTCCTGAAATATTGGAAAGCCGCACTGCTACATTGGAAGGCCGCATTAATAAAAAAAACTTCTCAGCTATGTAAAATAAAAGAACACCCCTTCAAGTGGGACGAAATATTCACCAATGCCTTCTCAGCTACTTCGTCCCATTTGAGATAAAAGAGAGTAGAAAGACATGCAATTTTTTAGTTTTTAAGCAGACTCATTATCTTTCTCATGCCACCATTTCAGCCTAAACAAAACTAATCACTAAGCGACATTTCTGACCTAATATGAAGAAATTTATTAAAACTGCCATTCAATCTTACCTACAGTGCCAACGTTCAGAAATTCCTAGACATTCAAAATCACCTTTTGGGTACCTTTTCCTTACCTGATGCAAGATTTGCACATTTTCATATTGATTTAATTGGTCCTCTTCCACCATCTGATGGTAACAGTTATTGCATAACATTTACTGACCGCTTCATTCACTAGGTGGAAGTTATAACTAGTGCTGACATGTCGGCTCAGACCACTTATAGATCGTTAGTACACAAGTGGATAGCTAGATTTGGTTGCCCCGTATCAATTACAACTATTCAAGATCGAAATTTGAATCTCATTTATTTAAGACTTTGATGAAAGTGTTGGGCACACCGCTGCTTACCACCCTCGATCCAATGAACTGACTGAAAGATTTCACAGACAGCTTCAAAGTTCAATAATAGCTCTAATAACCCAAAATGGACTGAAATTATGCCAGTAAGTCTGTTAAGTACAAAATCTGCCATTAAAAACGATATAAATACTACATGTGACAAACTTGTTTAAGGTACCACTCTTAGATTGCCCTCACATATTCTGAATCATATATTTCACAATTTCAATCAGTCATGAATTCACTCAAAATAGTTCCAAACTCTAAAAACATGCTCAGCTATCAGTTTATATCCACCCAGCATTCCTAACTTGTTTACATGTATTGGTAGTAGATTCTGTCAAACCTTTAACTACATTTTGCAGTGAACCTCCCACCGTTATTAAACGAAATTAAAGAAATTTTATCTTTGAGGTAAATAACAGAAATATTAACAGTTTCAATCGACCAACATTCTTTAAACCAGCGTATTATGTTGTCGAAACATATAGATACACCTGTAATGCCTCAAATTCCACATAAAAAAGTCTATGAAGAATCAAACGTTCCAAAACAAATAACTATTCGCAATAAAAGGTGTGTTCATTTTCTCCCAAAAAAACTTATAATTGTAATGTAATCGAACATTTTTCTCTTGTTTACCTGTAATAAAAGTTACAGTATATAAATAATAAAAGATTATTATTTTTTTCATATATTTGAAATTGTCTATATTTTTACTTAATTTTCATTATTTTTATTTCATTATAATATGCGTTTGTATCTGTTGTAAACGTTATGCACAGTCAATACATGGGATAATTTATTAAATTAAATGATAATTCCAGAATGCATTAGGTATATTTTAACTTACAATCATAAAGAAAATGTTTAGAATTACAAACATCAAAGCAAAAACTTTTTTATACATATTCTTGCTGCCATCGTAGAAAAACTAAACTTCGTGACACAAAGATAATATTATACGTAGAGAAAGCTGCTACATATCATTATTATATTTCAACTAGTATGCCATGTTATAGTGTTACTTGTGTACCACCATTTTTATGTATTTCTTTTACCTTGTATATGTACATTTTAATGTGTATTTTAAAGTACAACTCTTACTGGAATGTGTACGTATTTTATTGGAATTTTTTTAATTACCCGTTTTAGTTTCGTGACTGTCATTCGGTGAATACTCTGTGATTATCTCACATTCAGCAGCACGCGCCACCAGCTGACGTCTCATTATTTCGCAATAGCTGTGCGCTCCACCATTGACACCACATTGTCTTTTACCACCTACTCTGTGAGATTGTAATACCAGGTACTAGTTTTCGTGCTTTTAACGAATAAGTTTGTGTTAATAAAAGTGATTGTTTTAAGTAACATGGAGTCATAACTTGTGAGAACCAATAACGAGCCACATTAGAAACCCTTACAAGATTATGTTAGTAATACAAGACTTGCATAATCAGGTAACGCCATCAAAAGAAGAATACATGCATACTCAGTTAAAATGTGACTTGGAAATAATATGCGACTGGTTTTTACTACAATTTTAGGAATCTGCAGAAATATTACACACTACACAATCAGCAGTTACGGTGAAAATTATATCTAGCAACTTTTGTGTAAAAAGGAGACCGACTAAAAATACTAACTAAAACAAATCGGATATAAATGGTAATACATCTTACCTGGTTCTTGATCTTCTGAGCTTCTAAAGAGAGTAATTGAAATTTACTTAGCTTTTAATCCCTTATTTATACATTATAACGACGGACAATTCACTTGATTAGACACATGTTACACATCTAACTACATTTTAAAGATAAAGTAAACAAATCAGTTTTAAAATCAAGGGCTCACTATCGCCTGAGTTTGCAACACTAACTACGAAAGAACGAATAAGAGGTGAGGATATCTGCAATGTGTTTACAGTAAAGTCGAAAGATATGCCTCTACGCAAGCTGCCACGCATGCAAGCTCACCTGTATCAACTGCGCAGATACAAATTTCCGAACACATAGTACAATGCCCTGCAACCATCCAGCATACGACATCCGATGCCCAACCTATGCACGGTATGTTGAGCGAATCCGACGAAGCACAATCTACGAATAATGCACAACGACCAAGTACCTCCGCACCAGCATGGACGCCACACAGAACGGAAAATCCACCCACTGAAGATCGACCAGAAACAAAAGTGGAAACCACCCAGCACCAGACACCCATACGATGCGCTCAAATTAATTTGCAGAGAGCAGAAGCTGCCTCAACCCAAGCCATACAACATGCAATACATCATAATTTAGACTTTCTTCTAATCCAGGAACCATACTGCCGTGAAGGCCAGGTGGCAAGTTTTCCCCTGGCATGGAAGATCTTCCAAAGGAAATCCACAGCAGAGCAGGCACCCAGAGCAGCCATTGCCTGCTGTAACCCTACCTGGACACCTTTCCTGGTTTCAATGGAACGAGATTTCGTCTCCGTACTAGTTATCTTTAACAATCAACAGTTCATACTAAGCTCCGTTTATTCCTCCCCCAGTGATGACCTCACTGACGCAACTACAGCATACAATCACGTTAGACTGAAATGTCCTACGGTACCACACATCATTGGAGGCGACTTCAACGCCCACAACGTCATTTGGGGCTACCGTGACACGACTCCTAAGGGCCACGAAAGGGAAAACTTCATGGCGAGCAATAACCTGCATTTGCATAACAGCCCCGGTGCACAGCCGACATTTGACAACTCGTATCATAAAGGCTGGCCCGACTTGACCCTTTCAACATCGGACATTGTCAACAATATTTACTCTTGGACTGTCATGGATGATGAAAGCAATTCCGATCATAAGTACATCCATTTCCTCATTCAAGTAGACACCAGCATTAGCATATTAAAAAAGGTTTAAGCTTCCGGGTGGCAAGATTAGGCATCTGCATCGCATTCTCAGCGAAATTCTCAGAAGAGAAGAGATGGAGCTTAATACGCATAATGACCAGTATGATATGAATATCTACACAGATAATCTTCTCACCACTCTCAGGGACACATGCGAGCGAATTCTACCAATCAGGACTGCCAAGAAACTGCAAGGCATTACGTGGTGGACTAGGCAGCTGAGACAAATGCGCCAAAGGTGCAGAGCATTACGTCGCCGTCTCCGAACGGCTGTAGACGGCACAGAAACGGAAAGGTTGCTAACTGCATTCCGACAAGCACGGGCTACTTATAAAAAAGCAATTCTAGAAGCCAAAATCAACAGCTGGCGCAATTTTTGTACCAGCAATAGCAATCCTTACGGAATCCTGCATAAACTGGCCACGCAGAAAATCTTCCAGCCGGCACAAGTGCCAGTGCAGCCAGGGAATCTACCACAAACAATTGACTTAGCAGGGTCCACGGCCACAGCACTGCTTGATGCAATCTTCCCAGCGGATCCAGAACAGGATGACACGACGGCCCAGCGACTTTTGAGAAACTCCACAGAGATCCCAAGAACGCCAGAAGATGTCCCCATTACAATGCAGGAAATCACTCACATCTTCCGCCATCTACCACTGAAGAAGGCACCGGGTCCGGACGGACTTGATTATGCAATCTTAAAGGTCGCCTTCCGAGCACGGCCCACCTTCTTTCGCCTCTACTTCAATAAACTCCTGCACCACAGAGTATTTCCACAAGCTTTCAAGAAGGGACACGTGGTACTTTTTCTCAAAAAAGATAAGAACCCAATAGACCCCTGCTCCTTTCGTCCGATCTGTCTCCTTTCAGCGTTGGGTAAGATCTATGAAAAGATCATAGTTAACAGGCTGAAGTATCATATTCACAAAAACAACTTCCTCAGTCCCAAGCAATATGGCTTCCGTTCAGGTTGCTCAACCACACATGCCCTTCAACGAATATATGATGAAGTCCAGCTTAATCGCTCACAGAATCTTCAGACTGCATTCATCTCAATAGACCTCCAGAGCGCTTTCGACACCCTTTGGTGGCCCGCCATCAAGCAGGCCCTCAGAGAGGCGCAATGCCCGGAGAACATCTACCAAGTCTTTGAGAGTTATCTCACAGATAGGCAATTACTTATGGCAAGCAATAATGGCATTGTTACTAAGACCCAAGTCAGAGGCTGCCCACAAGGGTCCTGTGCAGGGCCCTTGCTCTGGAACCTGACATTTAACAAAATCCTCGAAGCGACGTGGCCTGATCACACAACTATCATTGCATATGCTGATGACGCGGCTCTCCTTGTTAAAGGTCGCACACGAGACGAAATTGAAGCCAATGGCAGCGAAGCGTGCGCCAAGTTCGCAAGCCTATGCGAAGACCTTAAGCTGAGGATTTCTATCACCAAGTCTTCTGCACTCCTCATCCCGAAGACCGGGCACGAGGCCTGTACGTCGTCCCTGTATCCGATTACTTGGCCGCAACATTAAATTCATGGATACACAGAAGTATCTAGGAGTGGTCTGGGACTCTGGCTTAACATGGGTGCCACATTTGCAGCAACAGAGAGCAAAAACCTCCGCTATAGCCAGAATGACACGGAAATTTCAAGGAAGGAATTGGGGACTAAATCCCCACATTCAAAAAGTGCTTTATAGCACGGTGGTGGAAAAGATTGCGCTGTACGCAGCTGCAATCTGGGCTCAACCGATGACAACGAGGAAAATCAAGCAGTTAACATCACTCCAACGCCCTTTTGTCATAAGCATCTGCAGGGCATACTGCACAACAGCCACGAGCTCCGCCCTTACTCTAGCAGGTATAGTCCCTCTACACATCCAGGCCGAGCTAGAGGCGACATATACGAGAGTCCTTCACTTGAGGAAAGACGCCTCCTTCGCAGGTACTCTCTACAGTCCAGCACTTTATGAGCACCCCAAGACACCGCTGCACACACATCCAGCGCATAAAGGACTAGGGGTCCACACCCACATCATGCAACAGCCCAACAAGGAAATACAGCACATCAGCAACCATACACTTTACACTGATGGTTCTAAACATGCTGAAGGCGTTGGCAGTGCTTTCCTGCACTGTTGGCAAAGCCAAGAATTACATCATTGGAAAGGCCACCTAGGTGACAGCAATAGCGTCTTTCAGGCAGAAGTGATAGCAATTACAGCTGCTGTTGAATATCTAATAAGCCGAAAAATCTCAAAAGCTTATCTCTATACGGATAGTATGTCTGCCTTGCTGGCCCTAAGCAAACACAACCATGTTTCCCCGTTGATCATCCGCCTTCAAAAACTCTTAAAAGATAACCCACAGGTACACGTGGACATGACGTGGGTGAAAGCTCACGAAGGCAATGCAGGTAATGAGGCAGCGGACGTGCTCGCCAAAGAGGCAGCCTCAAACATCAACGCACGTCCCATCGCTGTTCCGGCGCCACCTTCCCATCTTAAAAGACTGCTGAAAGGCGCAGCAGTCCAGTGGTGGCAAAGAGTATGGGAACATGGAAACACAGGAAGAAGAGTGTATGGCTTTCTACCGATGGTGACAACGGAGAGACTCATAGCAAACGCTCCACTTACTAACTTTGTAACTGGGCACGGTCCCTTCCCGGACTACTTCAACAGACGCACTATTTCTAATACGGATCGCTGTGTATGCGGGGAAGAGGGGACACCCGATCACTATATCTTCCGGTGCCCACTCACAGAACAGTACCATTTCCCGGAACCCACGAACATACCTGCCTTCCACAAGTTTATCCTTAAAAATAAAGCGGCAATCAACACAGTGTGCAAAATCGTTAACACCATTAAGGCCTACGGACAAGACCTTTGCCTCCCATTATAAAACAGTGCTATTCATAATGGTCTCAGTGACTGCATTCTGCCTTAACAAACTGTGCAACAACACATACTGCATGCTGTATACCGCTAGTGTTTCACTTGTGGGTATTGCGTACATTCTGCGCAATGTGCTGTGACGTTACAGCTACTACCCCCCCCCCCGCGGGCACAGGTGCTGAATTAATTATAACTTCCTGTTTGTTCGCGGACGAAATGGACCATACCTGCAAAAAAGCTGGACTGCAGATAAAACCCCCTGGGAGTTTCTGGACACAAGGAACTAATTATGTTTCTCTTCGCAGATAACAAAACCAGTGAAATCTTTGTGTAGAGATCTTCATGTGATTTTGAGGTGACAGGACGCATCTTTTACGTTCTAAACCACGCCAGTGGTTTCCGTAGAACAATAGTTTTTTTTATGCTGTAACTACAGTAAAAAGGACGCTTTTTTGCGCCCAATCTGCGTTAGCGGATATTGTATGATTTAGGGCTGTAATGATCAGTTAATTTTATGTTTTAATCAGGAAATCTATTTTAGTTTATCAAATAAATAATTTAAAAGACAACCTGTCTTTCTTTCACCCGACACGGGAGTATTGACGTTACAGTGCCTAGTAGCCACTATAACTGTGCACCTTATAAGTAGTTTTATGTGTTTAATGCAATGTGTGTGTTTAACGTAATGTTTATATATGTTTTATGCTGTTTAATGTCGTATTGTGTGTTTTTTGTATCATTGTACTGTTATGTTTTGTATATTTTGTGTAACTGTGTTTTCTCTATGTATATTTAATTGTCATGTATTTCAAATGTGTGTGCTTAATTATGTATCATATTAATGTGTAATGTGTATATGTAATAATGTATGTATATAATGTGTATGTAATTATGTATCATATTGATGTATAAGTAGTATTTTATGTGCAAGCAGTAATTTATGAGTAATAATATGTAATATAATGCATATATTTAAGTATATTAATGTGTAAGGTAATGTGTATATGTAATCATGTATCATATTAATATGTAAGTAGAATCTTCTGTGCAAGCAGCAAACCATGTGCAAGTAGCTTATGTGTAAGCAGTAATTAATGAGTATCTATTTAACATAATGTGCAAGCAGTATTTCATATGCAAGCAGTAACTTATGTGTAAGGAGTAATTTATGAGTATTTATGTATCATACTAGTCTGTAAGCAGTAACTTATGTGTAAGCAGGAACTTATGTATCATCAGTAGGCAGCAATTCATGAGTACGTAGTAATTTATGTACAATGCAACAGAATATGTATGTAATGCAATGGTATAATAACGCAACTATGCACAATGCAGCTATGTAATATAATCCCTGACTGAAACAGCATGCTGTTTCATACTCCGCACTGAATAACCAAATACGTGTAAACTGTGATCCGAATGTTGCCATATGTACAATGCTATATGTAATAATGTATCATATTAATGTGTAACCAGAATTTTAATTGCAAGCAGTAACTTATATAAGTAATAATTTATGTGTCATCAGCAGGCAGTAACTTATGTGCAAAGTAGCAGTTATGTATAGTGCAACAGTATATGTGTGTAACGCAACGGTGCATTGCAACTATGTAGTATATTCTTTAACTGAAACAGCATTTTGTTTCATACTCCGTACTGAATAACCCAATATGAGTGAACTGCGATCTGAATGTTGCCATATGTACAATGTATTATGCAATTGTGTATCATATTAATGTGTAAGCAGTATTTGTCAGTATTTGTATCATAATAATGAGTAATTATGTATCAAATTAACGTGTAATGTAGCATGTATATGTAACTGAGCATCATATTAATGCACCACATTAATGTAATCATATTAATGTAAGCAGTATTTCATGTGTAAGCAGTAATTTATATGCAAGCAGTAATTCAGGTACAAGCACAAGCAGTAACTTATGTGTATGCGATAATTTACGAATAAGCAGAATTTATATGTTATCAGTAGGCAGTAATTTATGAGTAAGTAGTAATTTATGTTGAAGTATCGCTAAACTCCCGGTGCGCCCTTATGGGGCCACAGGGAGTTGTTGCGTCTGGATAGGGAAGGGTGTGGGACATATGCCTGTTTACCTCTGTTAGACGCCAGGCGTCCCCGTCCTCCGTCACTTGTCTACGCAAGCTGTCTGCGATAACCACTGTAGGACACCAGTAACGGTTGATAAAATTAATGGATTTATTGCCGTCTTCAAGAAGGACAAATCATTTCCGAGCTTTACGATGTATCACAGTATCAACCTCTACGAAACTTTTTGTGGTAGAATGTTGCGCTTCGGACACGTAATGAAAATAGTTACAAAAATAGTAAACTTTATTCGAATACCCCCTTTGCAACACAGGCTTTTTAAGGCCCTAACGAGAAAATTCCGGACATCGTGACATCGTTCTGTATATTGAAGTACGTTGGCTGAGGAAAGGCAATATTCTGATTATTCGCTTATCAGTTCTTAGTTCTAGCATGATTCGTAAATTTAATTGAAAAAATAATTTAAAAAAATCTCAATACCTAATATAAACTTTTTATTTCTGGACTTTCGCTGGTTTGTGGGTCTAGGTTTTTTACAAACATAATTGAGAAACTGAATTTTTTAAACTTGGAGCTGTAGGATGACATCTACAGATGAGGCCACTTGTGCAGTGGGGGGGGGAAGCGAAGCTGAAATGGACTTATCCTCATTTGCAATCAACCCAGTGGCGTAGGTAGGGTGGGGCAAGGGGGAACATCTGTTCCCGGGCGCAGCATCCACGGGGCGAAAAATTGATGTTACGAAATTTTAAAATGAAATGTTTTTTTGGCACACAGAAAGGGGCGGAAATTCTTCAATTGTCCCTGAGCGCTGAAAACACTAGCTACGCCTCTAGATCAACCTTCAATTACTTCCTAACCAGTTTCAAAAACGATTTGAGCAATTTAATATTATCAAGTTAATGGTCATTTTTTTTCCCATCAATCCTTTTATTTGCTAAGTAAATGAAACCGAAATACCTGAATACATTGCAGAGCTTATTTAAGCACGAACGGAAGAAATGGAACTAGAAACTTCTGATCTCCAAAATGACTCAGCCTTCAAATCCGATGTACTAAATGAGAACTCCTGGCATATATAGTCGACACAAACTAACTTCCATTTTCGAAGAATATCATACAATGCAAAATCCTTTTCGTATTTGGTTCCACACATTTGTGTGAAATGAACTAAAGAATTTGTCAATATGTAAGGATTATGTTAATTTCATTAACAGTTAAATTTTAAGTTAGAGTTACTTTCCTGTCAAATTCTTAACTTCAACTTACTACTTCCAGCCAGAACGTAGTTTTGGAATCTTGCTGAATATTTAATGAGAAGGAGAGGTATTTAAACCACGAAGTTACTTACAGAGGCAGAGAGAATCAGAGTTTCTGATTTACGCGCGTCTGCCTTTTTGACCACTCTCTCTCAAAGCTGTTATTACGCTCAGCCGTACTCAGGCCCTTGCTAAGCTTCGTAGTCAAATAAGTTAAGGGGCCAACTCGATTTGAACCTTGATAGCTTCGGCTATATTTATTTAGTTAATCTTAGTTTTAGTTTAATTCTTAGACTTTTAAGTTCAAGCCCAAGTGCGGGCTTTGTTTGCACACTCCCAGGCGGAGTTTTGTTAAATCTTATTGGAATAATAACCCTTCTATCTTGTTGTTTCTTGTCACCGAACTTAAGCGATTATTCGCTTATCAGTTCTTAGATTCTTCACTTCCAACATTAACTTAGAATTACGAAGTGAGGAACTCTACAAACATTTACCTGTATTAGTCTTTATTTTACATACGAATAAAATCAATAATTTTTTTATAGCTTAAATTATACTTTTGAAATAATTTTTTTGTATGTTAAGCATATTATTAACTATACCAATCCGTAAATTTGCGTTGAAAAAATAAATGCACCCGCCACCCCACCGGTTTTCTAGAAAGGCTGGGGATTGCTGTTATAAATAGTTACTAGTTTTAGGCTAGAAATAAATACTTATATTAAAATGTAGAAAAAAGGGGCTTAAAATTGGAAGTTTGCTTTACATGTTTTTATATATTTTTTATATTACATATGTATATATTTAAAATTACATATGTATATATTAAATACACTAAAATGTAAAAATAATTTTGTTAGCTTTCACAATATTCTTGCTAATATGTGATCAAAATAAAATTGTCAAGCGTCTATAAACGAATTGTAAGACACGAACAGAATTGCAAAGGATGACAAAAGGAACAGAATAGAAATGATGTATAAGGACGACTGATTATACTGGATTTACTTAAATTTCTCTTTGAAAACCTTGATTTAAAATACGGCATTCTTAGTAGCCTCACAGTTTTACTTATAATTACAAGGAAGATATTATGAAAGCTTAAAAAATTATTTTTCAAATTTTAGTGTATTTAACTAAAATTATAAAATTTAAAAATTTCTTCTATGTACTCCTCCAGTTTAAAAAGTTTTTTATGTATTTTATTAAAGTCATAGGTTAAAATTTTTATCTGAAGTTTCAATCAGCAGAGACAATTCAAATGTTTTACATTTTACTTTACAAGTATTAAGCCAGAATCTGGAAGGGAAGAAGAAATTGCAATTTTATTTACCTTTAGTTATTTTTCAATAAATTATAACTATTATTATTATTTTATAAATTTATTTGTTTTCTAAATAATGAATTACTGACATGTTCTTAAAATACAGTGATTTGTTGACTGCTTACACAAATTATTTTATTCTTATGTCTTATGTATTTTAGTCTTTCTTTTATTCTTATTACGGAATTAATGTGTAATAACATAATTTATAATATTTGAACTAAGACAGTACACTGAGAACTTTTTTACACATAAAAATCTGAAAGCAAACACATAAAATAAACAATTTATTTTAGCATGACTATTGACAAAAATCACAAAAGTAAAACTATAAGAGCTACAAATTCTATCAGATCTATGTATACAATTATATAATGTGTATATTGTCATTCCATATATTAAATCTGCTAAGTTTTATTCCATGAGTATATATTTATACATTTGTGTTAAATATATACTAGTTCATAATAACACCACTTGACCAGCAGTGGTACATTATTTATAATATAAAAAACAAACAAATACTATCATGTATAACATGAATATTTTAATCTGATGCAGACTAAAGAAATGTCCCAAATGGGAAATAAAACATTATTTTTGTTTTCAAAATATGTACAATTCAAGTACTAAATTCTTCATTTGTTTTAGAGTATTATACAAAATAAAAATCGCTATAAATCAGGAACTATTGAAAATCGCCACATATTTCTGCAATTTCCTTTCAATTCACATTTAAGCATCGCAAGCATTTATCAAATTTTAGAGAAAACAGTAAAAAATGTTAATGAAAATAATAAAATATAATTATGCGTTTAAAAAAATTTAATATCACGGTTTCAATACGAGCGCAGCGCTTTCTAAAATCAAAATTACAACACGAAAATTAAAGTGCATATACATACATTTCAGTTTTAAATAAGTATCCAAATAGAGTATTTTTCGGAGATTCTAGTAATTATTCAAAATAAATAATTAAATTTTGCTTCGATCAAATTTTTTATTATTAGAGAAGATCGAAAAGTAACACAAACTTTTTTCCCCAATAGGATGGCAGGATTAATCAGGTATGGGGCTCTAGGTACACACTTTCTGGGGCTCCCAACGTTCAAAAGTTTGCTTTTATAAAAGAAAAGATAAGAATTATGGAAATGTTAAAGACAATTTGAGGCCCCCTCAACACGTAAGGCCCTAGATCAAGGCCTCCAGATTCTAAATGAAAATTAGTATCTATTCCTTAAGTTTAACGCATTACATAAAACAAATCATAATCAAAATGAAGCCATATGTCTTAGTTATTTTTCTGTGTGAGAATACGAAAAGCCATTCTCAAGCTTATTTCGATCATCATGGCACAATTTCAGTAAACTTTTCAGTATTAAAGTCAGTATTTTGGGATAGATTACATAGCGGATGGCCAGTTGGACTTAGACAAATTGAGGAATGAATCATTTGGGGATGGTTGCTACTGTCCAGCAAATCACGAACATTCTATGTGAATTTCAATAAAAGTTTTTTTTTTTTTTTTTTATATATTTAGATTACAGATAGTTGCTTTTCAACTACAAATGTTTACCCCCCCCCCTCAGCTTTGGCTGTTTGGAAATCTAATAAAGAAAATACTACTGTGAGTTAATTTTTGATCTTCTCTCTCGTAAATACAATGAAATTTTTCGTGGCAAATACCTGCTTAAGACGACCATCTCCAAAAGGAACCACTATAGTTGAAAAACAAACATAAACGGTTACTGAGTGCCAGTTCTGTAAAACGACCACAATCGCATAGAAACATGGATGGTCGTCGCAGACAGCATTCACTGCATTTTTATCTTTTACAAGCAAATACGTTTACAGGAAATTTGCTTTACATAGTGTGTTTGAGAATAAATTTTCTGGCTGTACAATTCACAGCATAAAATATCGCAAGCTTCTATCAAACTTTAAGAAAAGATAAAGTATTACTGTATTAAAGATGGAACGCATATCCATGAATGCCCATGTTCGCATACCCATGAATGCGAAATTTCGTTTATTAAAAACATGCGCATGCTTAAATTATAAAATGTTGTTTAACTTTAAGTGGACAGGTATTTTCAACATGTCCTGCACTACACTAAATGAAGGCTAATAGCACTGCATCAACGAACAGTGATGCTTTTAAGTGGACCCTAAAATGAATTTACAGTTATTATTAATTTCTGAAGGTAAGGTTGTAAGATACAATTTGCATTTTATCTGTTTCAAGTGTGTTGTTACTCATGTTTTCTTGTAAATAAATGCCAGTAAGGGAGGTTTTATGTATTGACGATAAATGCACATTTTTGAAATCGAGTTTAAACGCATTTCCTTTTTGACTAGGGCACTTACCATCAACCCAACTTTTTACACGGCAACTTATTCCTTTATGGTGCAGAATTAAAAGACTGCTATTGGAAGGAGTTTCAAAGTCATCTTGAGCCGGCAGAGTCCTGAGATTTAGCAATTCAACATTGCAAGGAAATGATGTTTCCAAGAATTCTAACTTTGATTTGAGATTTCTTTGCTCAAAACTATGTGTGGCAACTATAACAGGCGGATGAGACATAAATGACGATAACAGATGACTGTTTAATGACAATGTGGGAACTTCCGTAATTTTGTCTTTTATTCCTTCTAAAAGCACCCAAAATTGAGCCACAGTACGTTTGTTGTCCATTATACCTTCACCAAGACCTCGATTATCGTCACCTCGAAGCCTGCGATCAAGCATGACCTCCAGCCATCCAGAATTAACACTTGCAACTCCATGCGCATGAGATAACAATAAAGTCAGTCTAGACTGCGTATCTTCTAAATATACTGCTGATGTAGCTGGATAGTAATTAGCCTCCAATGGAAGATAACTTAAAGTTTTCCTCTTGATCATTTGAAATCCATTAGAATCCGTGTAGAAAACATCTCGACTTTTGACATCTGACTTTACTCTGAGAAAGAGCTCCAGATTCACATCAAACAGTTGCGCAATGTCTGTAAAGACTTCTAATTCTACTCCGTATCCTAATGGGCCACTTGTATGGTACACTCTTTGAATAACAGTAACGACATTAGAATACACTGCTGTTACTTCAGAACAAAGTGGCCCTCGCACGGTACGAATTATGGGAAATCTGCCAGAAATATTCTGGACTGCATCTGTTGTTAATGGATGGAATAAATAAGCACCACTTCTGAATTCTTCAGACTTATAAGCTTGTAGGAATAAAGAAACTTTATTGATCAAATCATAATCTTTGAGTTCCACACTTTGCAGTAAGCCACTTTGTTTAGAAAAACGTGCAGTCACAGATGGAGTACTGAGCTCTATATCTATATCTGTGGGACTTTGGAAAGAGAATATAGAATTATGTGGTTGCTTGGCAAAGGCATCATTAAGAGTTACAGCCACTTGTGACCGTGGTCTAGGAGCTCTCTCTGATGTAATTACAGTAAAAGTAGTCAAAGACAAAGGAGAGAGATCTGCTAAGAAGAGTAATTCGTAAGTATCTCCCAGAACTTCTACAGAACCATTCCAGGCAGGATTAACTTGTACAGGCACTTCTTGCTCATCAGGATCTAAGACTTTGACAAAGGCACTCCTTACTCTTAAACGGATAGGTTCAACCACTCGGTGGGCTTTTGAATTGAAGATCACTACTTTTCTTCCTTGAGATGGAATCGTTAAAGGAACTTTCTCAGGTAATTTATCAAATTGAGCTTGATCCGTATCAGGATAGAGAAATGAAGTTAAAGGATGAGCTGGACGTAAGTCCACTGACCTTTTAACTGCATCGTCAGCTATCATGTATAATACGGAATGAGCAATAATACCTTTAGTTTCTTTTATTCCTCGAAATAACCTCATACCATAATCTGCCATTACTGCTTCTTTTGATGTTCCTGTAATAGCATCATGATGTTGAAACAATCCTAAACTATCTCTTGCCTGAGTTAAATAAGCATAATCTTGATCTAACCTTTTCAATAAATGCAACAAATCATGTTGTTTTACATAGACTCTAGATAAAGAGTATAAGATTTCAGCACTGCGTAACCAATGCTGCAAATCACGGCACATGTGTTTCCAGTATGGACGTGTTGTATAATAACCACTCCAATAGGAAGGATGACCTTCTCCATATATATCACCATAAACATGAAAATCACCTGTAAGATTTGGAATGTTATCATACCCTATAGCATTCATCCTTTTGTGTACAATACTAAAGTAATCTCGAAGCGTTCCAAACCTCACTCGAGCATTCCAGTCATTTCTCGAATTTATATATTCCATTATTTTTGCGTAATTTTCATATTGTTGATCCCATTCCTCGTCATGATTATACCGAAAATCATCTCCTAAGGGAACCAGAGCAACATTATGGGAAAACAAAGATCCTATTCTGCCATATTGTCCTAAAAGAAGTTCAGCTCGTTCAGCCAACTTTTCAGGTGTAACAGGAGTTGCACGACTCTCGGAATATTCTCCAGGAATACGTCTGAAATCAAACTGCAAACAAACATCGGGATCGGGACCACAAGAATGTTTTATACTGTACAAATCAAATGGCATCATTTGACACATGATGTCACCTGTATGGTTCTTCTGAGTAAAATCATCGAAGTCCTGACGCCACCAAAAATCAAGTTGCCGTCTTTCAGCAAGGTAAGCTTTCCATGCATAATGTGTCCTTTGTATAACCATATTATACATTCCGGAAGCTCGTAAAAGATAGGGTACAGTTGACGAATGCCCAAAAGAATCAACAGACCAAGCAGAGCGAGGAATGATTCCAAGATTTGTTTTCATCCACTGATGGCCTTCGATTAACTGATCAATCATACCATAATAGTGAGAAGCCGCTTCATCGGTCATCACCCAACCACCAGTTAGAATTTCTAATTTGCCGGTATGCAGAAACTGGCGAACTTGATCACGAAGATGCGGTCGATTCTTAAGGCTGAAAAAAAAAGGGAAATTTTTATTGACATTATAAATGTATTTAAAACTCTTGAATTTAAGATACTCTGATAAAAAAAAACTATTTTTAATAAACTACAGTACATTCAAATACTAAGAAAAAATACTAGACAGTATTAATAATAGTATTGGAGTTGCAAACGAATGCAGAGGCTCATGATTTGGAGAGCTTTTCGGAAAGCAAGGACCTTCGCAACTACAACTCGTGCGACACCTTAAATCTGTATCTGAGCAAATATTAACTTTACAGCAGTACCTGTAATTTAAATAGCTATCAAACATCATAGATAAAGATAATATCATAGATTTTATAAAGAAAGACTCCTACTTTAATATGCTATGCAATGCAACACTTGACAGGAAATATTAACTAAAATGGGAACACGATGAGAAAGATTAACTGAATTTAAAAGCATTTATATTGTACTTTCACAAATTCAGTTGATAAACACACCATCTCCTCTCATTAATAAAATCAGTAAAAGAGGGAAAAGCATGAAAAGCAGATACAAAAAGTTAAATGATATTTGAAGTTTTTGATTAAAAAAAATTACATAAATAAAAAAATTTTATTTAAAAAGTACACCGATCATATATGAAGCAAGATATTTAAAAAAATACAGTTTTAAAATGCGTTACACCAGTTAAAATATTTTACTGCTGTTATTATTACTATTATTTCATCACTCATTAACTTAACACAGTGTTCTAAAACTTTTTCGACTCATGAAATCCAAAAAACTTTAATATGCATATACACTATGTGACACTGAACAAAATAGACACCATAACGAATAAAAAGTGATTTTTTTTTACATAATGCACTTATAAAACGCGACTATACGTCATGCTCAGTAAATTGTAGAAAAACCGTTGGCAGCGATACAGGCAGCAACACGCCTAGGTACAGACCCAAAGAGCATGCGGATTGTCTCCTGATGGACAGATGTCCATTCCCTGTTAACAATTTACCCCAGTTCGTTCGTTTTCTGAACATGGTGGTGGCAACGCACGCAATCGACGTCCAATTACATCCCAGACATGTTCGATGGTTGAGAGATCTGAGAAGATAGGTGGAAAAGGAAACATCTGGGTACGTTGCATGTCATGTTGGTGGACGCGCGCGATGGGTGATCTGGCGTTATCTTGCAGGTAAAGGCATTCGGCACTCTCTGAAGGAAGGCTAGTGTTATCGAATGGAGCACGTCATTTACATACTAGGACCGTCTTCGAATGGAGCATGTCATCCACATGTGCTGGGTCGTTATACTTCCAACAGTACAGACTAGTGGTGATCTGCTATCGTAAGCTATGCTGCCATAAGCCATGACGGTGCATTGTTGTACAGTTGGGCGCTCATTAGTTGCGGTCGGATTGGACCTGTCACAACACCGACGCCAGACTCTACAAGGTGACTGTCATTGCTTTAAGAAAAGCATGACTCGTCAGAAAACACAATATTATGCCACTCCAAAGTCCATGTGGCTTTACCCCGACACCATCACAAACGGTTGGCTCAAAGGCAGCCTTCTCAATGGCAGCCACGCGTTGAGACCATCGGTTGTCAATTGGCGAATATTGTTGCTGGCCGATATGGAAGCATCAACAGTATCCTGCACCTATCCCCAAATGTCAAGTGGTCTGGGGAGTCATCACCGCATACCTGCGGATGCGTCAGTCCACACTTGCTGAAATCATTCTAGCAGTAACGCCGCCCCTGGAACGTGCCACATTCCCTTCTTCCAACCATCTTCGCCACAGCTAGCACACCATAGACGCATGTAGGTGCTGTGATTCGGGGTCGGGCGAACCTGTTTTTCTCACTCTGATCACTAAACCCTTGGTGTACTCATCAGTCTACTGGAAGTTCCTCGTTTGTTGGCGTCCTGGCATTTCCCGTACTAAAGCTTCCTCTGCGGTAGAAAAACAACTTGCCCGACGGAGCAGCACAACTACTGTCGATTCTGTAAATTCCTTCTCTTATTTCTCGTTTCACAACTACGCAAGAATGCTACACATTTTGCATCATTCATATAACTTGGTGCACTGTGTCTACCTTACAATTTGCACATTCTCCGGAGCATGCGTTCATGGTGTTGCATTTTCATTGTCACATAGTGTATATAAAATTATTTTGGCTTTTTTTTCTTTATATTGGCTTTAAATTTGCTTTTCTACTTTTATACGTGTTTGTTTAAATTTAAATTTAAATTTGTTTAAATATATATGTAATGTTTTCAGTTATTCCAACACATCGTGGGCGAATGGTGAGGCTATTCCATTACACGTTCTGGCATATGGTTGACGAAGCTGGGATGATTGAAACATGGAGAAAAATGACGACTCAGGACTTTTCACTTTTAACAGCAAGCATATCTTTATTTTAATTTAGAGCAGATGATTTTTTCCAGATGGAGTTAATCAAATAACTTATTCAGTAATTGAACTATTAGATACGACTGACTTTAAACTTTAATAGGTCATAACGTTCTAACAAAGAAAGAGCAGCATAGCGGAAGCGTTAGCAGGACGAAGGCGAGAAGGCATCTGTGTAGGAGAACTTATGACGCAGCATTTATATGAAAGGTTATGTAACAGAGTAGCTTCTAGAAAAATGTAGAAAAACTTATGACGCAGCATTTATATGAGGAGGTTATGTAATAGGTGCGAATGTTCTAGAAGTTACTGGTTTAGGGGATGATCCTGAATTGCAGAAAATTAATTAAAGGTTGCTGGTTCGCAAAGAGCAAAGCCATCGTATTTTTTTATATTTTACATATATATATTCAGGGTGTACCGTAAATGTTGTGACAAAGTTCTAGGGGGAGGTAAGGCACATCACACGGATTAAGAATGGCATAGAAACCCATGGCCGGAAATGTCAGGGGTAAGTGGTAGCAGAAGTAGAAGATGCGAAAAGAAGAAAAGTGATTAATTTGAAATGTATTTTGGACATGAACACAAATTTTTTTAATCAAATCTTATAATTAAATCGACGAAATACACCATTAAACAAGGATTAATTTGATACTAATTTAATTTTATATACTTTTAAACAAATAAATGAAACAGGCTTCAACTAAGAACATTATTAAATTAGCTGAGATGCATATACTACACTGTATTTTGCTCTCTTATACTTGCGTTTGTAGCATTTTTTGCTTAAATAATTTTTACATATTTTTTGATTAAAACGCAGAATAATAATTTCTGCAGTTCATTATAAATACATATGTAATATTTTTTATTAATTCTATGTAAATATTCTTTTTTTAACTGTGATACATTTTACTGACAGCTTGAATGTTACAACAGATGCTCGAAGTTTGCACCATCAGACGCCAAACATGCCTGACACCGACGGACCATTTATTGCCGGACATGTTCAAACACACCGGGAATTTCGTTGATTGTAGCAACTGCGCAGGCAAGTCTTGCCACGAGATTTATTTAAGACACAGCAGGATCGTGATACACGACACTTTTGATGGCTTCCCACAAAAAGAAATTAAAGGCTCGATGACGGTGGGCGTGGGGGCCAGGGAACTAGTCCACCACCCACAATCCATCGATGCGTGAATGATCTGCTTAAATGGCTACGAACATCCAGTCCAAAATGAGCAGAGGCCTCATTATGTTGGAATCATATGTTGCACCTCACATTTGGTGGAACATCGTCAAGCAAATCGGGAAGAACCTGCCCCAGAAAGATCAAATAATTTGCAGCAATCAAATGGTCAGTCGGTGACAGGCATGTTTGGTTTCTGATGGCGCAAACTTCGAGCATCTGTTTTAACATTCAAGCTGCCGTACATCATTTGTATTCATGTCCAATAAATGTTTCAAATTAATCACTCTTGCTTCTTTCCCCATCTTCTACCTCTGCTACCATTTACCCTTGACATTTCCGGGTATAGGTTTTTATGCAATTCTTAATCCTTATGATGTGCCCTACCTTCCCTAGAAGTGTTTCGCAACATTTACGGTTGCGAAACACTTCTAGGTTGATTCAAAAGTTATCGTTCAAATTTCGCGTGAGGTAGGGAGGACGTTAGGAAACTGATTTGACATATGAAAGTATGTCCGCAAATGTCATCTGCATGAATAAACTGGACAAGTAATGTTAACACAAGGAAACAGTACAGTTAAGTTGTGACGAATGTGACCTTCATTCCAAAAAGGTAAAGTACAGGCTCACTTTTTTCAGGACCATTTACACGAACACAGGATTCACAGCGCCGTTGCATTGACCGACAAACATTTTCAAAAGCGTCTGGCATATCACGGACAATTCCTACGGCGGTCACTTTTCTTGCAACTACGCCCATTTCACTGTCGACAAGGGTCTTGTACACATGGTCTTTCATGGTTCCGCTCCCCTACACACAAAAAGAAATCGCGTATCAGGTGGCCTGGGTGGCCAACCGATCCTCGAGCTCCGAATGTTCGGTTCAGGTAATCACGCACAACAACTGTGTTATGGCTGGAACCCAGTCAAGTTGATACCAGATATCTCGGCGGATATGCGCAGGAACAGTGCCCAGAAAAGTCGGTACCACTGTCTCGACAAAGATTAGGTATTTCCGGCCGTCCAATTGCGGCGGCGGTAGTAAGTAGGGTCCAAACAAACAGTCATCAATGATTGCAGCCCACACATTTACGGCAAAACGATGTTGCGCAACGTAACTTCTCGTACCATGCGGGTTGTCGTAAGCCCACAACTACACTTTATCATAATAAACTGAACCAAATCAAACCCTACTTTAATACAACTGGTATTCATTTTACCACAGAAGCTAGCAATGAAGACAGAAATGAGAATGTTCAATGGGCGATTGCAATTACTTGAGGTTCAGCTCTTTTGTTCGCAGATACTGTAAATGCATGGATTTCCAAGCGAACACAACTTTGTGGTTTTAAACGTTGCTTTATTCGCGGTTAGTTCAGTGAGGCTGCACTCATAAAAACAAATTTATTTCGTATTATTTTATGTAATAATAACAATCAAAATTAAAATATCACTTATTTAACTCTTGCATATATTTATCTTTCTGATCTATATATTCTAAAATTCATTTAAACTTTAATGGTATCTCGGTGTTCAGCGGAAAAGAGTTTAAAGGACAATGGTTTATATCCGTAGAATAAGTATAAGTCTACAACTGAGTATTTTCAACTAAAGTCGTACAATTTTATACAAAATAAAGATTTCAGACCAAGATGTTGCTCTTTGGCTTATGATATGCCTCTACGTATAAGCGAACTGCAACAACAACAACAACAATAATAATAATAAAAGGAAATTTCAAAATTAATAGCTAAATTTAATGATGCAGAAAATTTAGAGGCTTGTACGTAGGTCAGTCAGAATGTTAGTTGCACCTCTTTGTAAAAACTTTCTTTTAAAGGCTATTTCGGTGAAACTCTCTGGCGACACTTAAGACATTTAGCTGTATCGTGTGGCGTAGCGGCTTTTACGAAGCAATTTTAGTTTGTCTGATAATCAGTCGTAAGCATGTCTGGACAGCTGCAAGTGGCGTCCAAACTGGAAATGCGTGCAGTGATTCGCTTTTTGTAGGCCAAAACGTGTAACGGCTGTGAAATTTATCGGCAGTTGCATGAAGTATATGATGAAAATGCAATGTAACGTCCAGCTATTGCGAAGTGATGCAACCTGCTCAAGAACGGACGTATAGATACTGACGACGCTGAGCGCGATGGAAGATCATCAACTGCCACAAATTCTGAAATGTCTGCTGACGTGAATAAATGCATTCTTGCAAACATACGCATAACAATAACCGAAATCTCTTATGAACTGGATATTTCTCATAGAAGTGTGCATAAAATTACCGCCGATCACCCAATTTCATAAAGTTTGTGCTCGATGGGTGCCTCGTCTACTGATGGAGGAAAATAAAGGGAAGCGTTTTGAAATTGAGTTGAAATTTCTGCAATGTTACCAAAAGGAAGGAAATCCGTTTTTGGACAAAATTCTGTCCGGAGATGAATCTTGTAATCACCACTTCTCACCTGAAACGAAATGCAGCTACCTCAAGTGGTAACATTCCACTTCCCAGACACACACACACACAAAAAAGTGTCGAACAAATCCATCCCTGGGAAATATTATGCTGAAACTGTTTTCAGCAGACAAGGTTTGCTGCATACAGATTCATGCCGAAGGGTGCCGCAATTAATGTACCTTCTTATTGTGAAACACTAGAAACGATTGCGGAAATCACTTAAAAATTCGACGCCCAGGTAAACTGTCGAAAGGCATTGTGCTCCTGCATGACAATGCAAGACCGCATGCAGAAAAACAAACGTGAGACCTTCTGAAAAAGGTTAGGTGTGAAGTCTAGAATCACCCTCCTTATAGCCCACACCTTGCAACGTGATTTTTGTTTGGTCCCATAGTAGCAGAACTTTCAAAGCGATGATATCACTGGGATGACGATGTGAATTGGATTATTTAATTATGGCAAACCACACGAGGGCTATCTGCCTAAAGGGAGGGATGCCTTCGTGGAGGACTTTCTAAGGGAAACTGGCTCGTATACATGTTACACATGGGAAAAACTACGAAGACGCCCATGCAGCCAGCCCGTTCGCGGGATTCGAACCTCGGACCGAACTACCAGTGTTCAGCGTCTTTACCGCTCGGCCGCTTGTGGGCCGATGAGGATGTGAAAACGGCAACCCAAGAATGGTTATCGGGCATTGGACGGGATTTCTTTGCAGAAGGCATCGACAAACGTGTACCATGCCTCAACAAATGTTTAAATAACGGAGGTAATTTTCTAAAGCAATGCAACTAACTTTTTGACCGACCCTCGTATAATGTCATACGTTCGTATATTCAAAACATTCGTGGAAAATGCTGTTAGGGTAGTTATATTTGAAATGGAAGCAATTATATTAACTCATCTTTGAAATACTATGCAGTAAAAATACATAAGCTTGCTTTAGCACTCCTGGGAACACTGGGAAAATGCTTCTTTTGTTATTTGTCACAGCCTACCTGTCGTGTCGTTTTGCAAATCCTGAAATGTCTGAAAACGTTAACCCTATACAACCGTTTGATAAAGAGTTAGCAACGAAAGATGAGGTAGACGGTGAGAAATTTAGAAATAAGGTAGTTATAGGACGACAGGGATTTGTTTCTAATCAACGCAACCCAAACTTTGCACAAATTCCAACAACGTGCTGAATGGTCAAAAGATGCTTTATTCTGTTTGCATTATAGCTCAAATGACATTATACCGGCTGATGTTACTTCACGCATTTCTTCAGTAGAAAATACACTAACCGTTTAATAACCTTATTCAATTATTGTAAGTTCACATACGAAATAATATTTCCGCAGTTTTGAATAAAACAATATATAAACTATAAAATTTCATAATTTAAAATTTTAATTAACTTTAAATTTACTTTATACGAATACAGAATGTTTGTTATACACTTGCATATAACTTAATAAGTAAAACTAGTAATTCCTATTTTATTCACATTTTGTATCCAATTAGCGCATTGTTGAGAATATGTTATAAAAAACCAATCTAACTCAGCCCATCTGTATGCCTAGAGAAAGGTTAGCGAATTAATTTTCAATATGATAGTTCAAACTATTATATTTTATAAATAAATTATATGAATAGAAATTGTTTGGAAATAAGGAACATGTTTGTTTACCTGTTCCACCATCTGGAAAAGAACGATATTTCGGACCATACGAAAGTCATATCTCTGTATTTGCCTAATTTTTCAACCATGTTGTTCAGGATGTGAGCAGTATAAGCCATAAAGTAGCCATCGAATGTTTTAAGCCATCCAGGATCGTTATGAGAATGAGGTACTACGATAACCTGAAATGGAAAATAAGATGCTTAAATGAATCTTATTAAATATAATTAAAAAAAAGATATACAGTGATGGGACATAAGTGAAGGCACAATTTGCATTTTCTCAAAAAATGGGGGGGGGGATTGTAAGTCATTGTTTTTATCAAAACATATACCATTTATATAATCTTTGGAATATAATAAAGATAACTAGAAGACGTTAAATTGAAACTCAATAAACTTACAAAAATATAAAGAACATTTCGACTTATTCATTCAAAGGAAGGACAAATGTGCAAGTTTAGGGATGAAAATAAATGTAAGGAATAATTTCTGGCGAATCATCTGTTTGAATCGTCTCAAGGCAGACAGCCTTGAGCTTATTTGGCATATAATTCACCAACATGTTCGTTGCTTCAGAAGAAATTTTGTCCTATTCTGCCTTTTCATATGGTCCACGATCAGTATATAACAGTACAGTAAGGACAGTACAGTAAAGTAAGGATACTGTATTGTCAAGTTCTTTGCATAAATTTTCGATGACATGTATGTCAGGGATTAAAGCTGGATGTCTGAGAATGTGGGGCACATAATAGAGCAAGCACAAACGGAAAATATGGGATTATTACTCTATTTAAAGTAGAAGTTGTTCCCCCCCCCATAAATGAAACTTACGGGCGTTGAAGATTACGTTTAAGGATATTCAAATAGATATGCCAGTCCATTGTGGCATCAATGAACTCAAGATTGCTACTTCTATACACGATCTTTATTCAAATGCTCCCTTGCATAAGGGAATATTATTTTTCTTTCGATTAGATTTACTGATATATGGTTTTCTTCTGGCTACTCTAGATTTGTAACCAGTCCAATGAAGAATTCTGTGGATAGTTTTTGGATGAATTATGTTGTTCAAGTCTTCCTTGGGTGTTCTTACAATAGCATTTGAAGAAATTTTTGGATTCACTTCAACAATATTCACAACTTTTCTCTACGAGTCAGCTTTTTTGAGCAGCCACTTCTTGGTTCATTTAACACACTACCAGATGATTTGAAGTTTTTTAATCACAGGTTTTACTGTTTACCAACTCCTATTAACTATCACGGTTAACTATTTCAGCGATTTCTCACACTGATTTATTCTAATTCTAATTATATATATAATTAATTATATTTAGATATATACACTCACGTTTGTGAAAATTGCAACACCATGAAGGACTTCGCGAGTGAGCTGAAATTTTCAGGAAATGCAAAGTAGCGCATGATATGCAATGATTAGAATTGCAAATCCGTAGCGCATGCGTATGCTGAGCAGCGCCCTCTGAACGGCTGATGGATCCGAATAATAGAGGCTGTGCGAGCGTGTATGGTTATCGGTGGTTATCGCTAGTGGTAAACGTTAACTCAATCTGTACTTATGCTCGTCGACGAAAGAGAGCGAGATTTGAACAACTTACAGAGTTTGAACGAGGGAGAATCATCGGCCTTCGTTGAAGCTGGATGTCGTATCGTGCAGTAGCCTCTCGTGTGCAGCAGCGAACAGCAGCACAGTGATGCGCGTTTGGAAGCAGTGGACGGACGAGTGTCGGACAACTCGGAAATCCGGGAGGGACCCCGAAATGTGACGTCAGCTCGCGATGATAGACACCTGGTCGCATGGCGCGGGAGACCGTACAGCTTCTCTAGACAACTGGCAGCACTTGGTCAATAGCTACAGGTGTGTTCATTGTGTGCTCATCAATCGTAGACGTCGCTGCAGTGTGGACTGCGCGCACGGCTCCTTTATACAGGGATCCCCCTAACGCACGACCATCGCGCCTGCGGCTCAATGGGCCAATCAGCATAGAGACTGGCGTGCTGATTGGCAGCAATGTCGTGTTTTTGACGAATCCCGCTTTAATCTGTGGTACCATGATGGCCGCATTAGTGTCAGACGCTATGCCGGTGAACGCCACCTTCCGGAGTGCATTATCGAACGCCACAGTGGACGAACACCCGAGTTATGGTCTGGGGCGCCATAGCATACATAGACGATCTCAATTGCTACGAATTGTGGGCAATCTGAACAGCAACGGTATATCCGTGAAGTTCTACAGCCCGAAGCTGTTCCCTTCCTTCAAAGCTTGCCAGGCGCGCTGTATTTCACAGGGACAATGCCCGCCCTCATACTGCTCGGATTGTTAAATCCTCTTTGCAGCGCAGCAGTACAGTTCTTCCTTGGCCTGCGTGTTCCCCGGATATGTCGCCAATTGAAATGTGTGGGATGTCATTGTCGGCGTCTTGCTCGTGATCCTCGTCCTGTTGCGTCTGCAGACGAACTTTGGGTACGCGTTACAAACGATAGGAATGCTCTTCTCTCAGCAGACATTCAAAACTTTGTTTGACTCCATGCCACGTCGTGTAGCAGCACTTATTGCGGCGCGGGTGGCCACACAAAATACTGATTCTGATCTCTTGTTCTTGTTTGTTTGCTTTGAACATTTAATCATTTATTTTGTATACTACCACTCAACTGTGTATTAAATTGCATTCAATTATGACGATTCCTTCTTGGTGTTGCAATTTTCACAAACGTGAGTGTATATATATATATATATAGAGATATATATGCATTATTATTATTTTTCAGTAGCAGTTTCCACACGTTTACGTATCAAATTTCGACGAACTAAGCAAAAATAGTCGAGCTTTCAGCTTTATTTAAATAAATAAAACCATTAATAGAATGTCTAACAAAATTAATAATGCCTTATATGACTCTGATTAGTATGTACATAATGACGCAATAAAACTTAATTTGCATAAACTCAACATTGTTTTGTCCTTCATTTTCCTGAGTTCTATTTATTTCTGTAAGTTTATTAATTTAAATTTAAGTTTAACATTTTAGTTATAAATAATATATGTTTTAATAATAAATATTAATCATTACAAATCATGATAAAAATAATGAATTTTACAATTTCTATCCCATTCTTTGAGAAAATGCAAAGTGTGCCTTCACTTATGTGCATTTATGCGAGAGTCAAAAGCAAACAATTCACATGTACATGCGGATTGAATTCAGTTTGTGTACTATCAGTTTTTTAACGAAAAATATTAATATGGCTAATTGCTGATCTGACGAATTATTTTTAACGTTTCTAATTTCGTGAATTCTCATTTTAAACTGTTTAAATTTTATACGGTATTATTTGTTTTGGATCATGTCGGAGCAGATTATATCTTCATAATATATTAAAAGTTTTATAATTTTTTTTACATTTTTTATTCGTATCATAAATTTTTTTAATTACTTTGTTTTTTATTTGGCACTTTCTTTTGATTTATTTCATTAATTTATAATCACCCAGATATATTTCAGAAACGAGATTCGTGTTGAAAAATTTTCAGCTGCTTCGTGAAAACGGACCAAACTACTTGTTTTTTAATTATTGTGTTTTTTATTAGATTATTTTCAGTTATTTTGTTTTTGTTCGAAATCAGTTTTTTCCAGACAATGGCGTAGCTAGGGTGAGGCAAGGGGGGACATCTGTCCCCAGTCGCAGCATCGAGAGGGCGCGAAATTGTAATTAAAAAATTATAAAATGAAATGTTTTCTATTCTTGACACAGAGAAGGGAGAGCAAAATCTTTCAGTTGTCCCCGGGCGCTGAAAACCCTAGCCACGGTTCAATTTCCAGACAAAAAATTTGGTTCCAATTAACTGCTAGTTTCTGCTGAAAAACAAATTTAGTTAAGACTTTCATCACTAGATGGCGCAGTAAGTCTTCGAGCAACAGAAATCCTAACAATATTACCGCGAATATGATCGTTGCTGAGACTAACACAAATATTTACTTGCAATTACATAGCAGTCCATTTAACAATTTATTTATTCCAGCGCTAAAAATTAAAAAATGCCTTAGTTGATTATTAACGTAAAATTATATTTAATGAAGAAAATCTAGCATTAGCGTACTGAATAAGATATTTATTTACTTCAAATTTATTTGGGGGGGGATTCTTTCAAATAAAGGTTGAAATTTTCAAGAAGGGAGTATTTCTTTAAAATAAACTTTTCAATGATTCAAATTAAAAGATATATAGAAAAATAATCAAAACTGTGTAAATTCTCTAAAAAAACTATTTTTATATTTTATTGTATATCTCCAAGCCTTTTCCGTATATGATTTTAAAAATTAGTTTGTGGCAGCAATATATTATTTTTTTTTTTAGATTAAAAATGATAGTATTGATAGTAATAACTAATTGAAATGATCCAAAACAGTAGCAGTTTCCAAATTAATGATAGGAATTTTAAATAAATTGAAGAGAAACTATAAATCGTGCTTTTATTTGATGTATGCATTTATTTATTCTTTTCTTATACTTAATATTGGATTCAAAAACTAGTTTTCTTTTCATAAGTTAATCATCAGTTACATGGTTCGATTTAAAAAAAAAGTTTTAAAAACATTTAATATTTTATCTAGTTTTAGTTTTCAAAACAAAGTTTAATCTTTATTTCAAAATATGGATTAAACTAAACACTTTATTATGATTAGCTTATTCCTCCACTCACCCTGCATTATTAATTTCAGATTTTGCTTTACAGAAGTAATTTAATTTCAAATTTTGTATTCCATCTTTTACTAAATATAAAACATTTAATATAGAATGAAATATAAGTATGGTTAAAATCTGACTAAGGTACTTCAGGCAGCAATCAGTGAATTAAACAGCAGTCACAATTGTATAATCATAACCAGGCCTGGCTCCAGAACCGGTGCAATATGGGCGGCCGCATCGGGCGGCGAAATTTTAGATTTTTAGGAAGCCACTGGCGACAAGATTCAAAAAACTCAAAGACTGTACTGGGCGGCAAAAATCCTAGCGTCGGTCCTCATCATAATAGATTGCTTATGGGTTATGGATATTATGTCTTGGAAGAATCTGGAATTAATTCTCCTGCTGATTTCATATTTTCTTTCAAAATATCAATTTAGCTATACTAATACAGGGTGATTCGGAATTCATCATCAATATTTGGTGGGGAGGTAGG